TTCCGACGACCCGTTTGCATCGTCTTTCTCGCACATTCTTCCATCGCACCGATCGTTCCATCTCTTTTCTATTTCCTGCGGCTCCTCAAACTACCCTACGCCCCCCTACGCGTACAGGTACAAACACAGCCCCGACTTCCTTTTTTTTCACCAGTCCCTTTCTCTTTTTTTCCAACCGACCTTATCGAGCACCGTCGATGCGCTCGGCCGATGTCATAAGTCCCCTGCACCTCATCCAGCGACCACTTATTCCTACGTATCAATTCATCGCGCTTGTTAAATTATCGTACCCCCACGAATCTCCTTTCGCGTGCGCCGCTCTATATTTTCCCTACAATTCCCGCCGCAGCACTCTTTTTCTATGCGGTCGCACGTGCGCTACGCCGAGGAAGGGTGCCGGATTAATAACGGGAACGATTGTTTGCTGACCAGTACCCGTGGGAACTGTCGATTTTCTTCTTTTTCTTTGACTTTTTGCGCGGGCTTCTTTGCATCGACGAGGATGACCATGGGAATTGGTTCGGATTGTGTAACTACGTTGAGGCCAGTTTTTCCGCGGAATCGGTGCACGGGAAGGTTTGTGAATTTTATAGAGCGCGGTGAATTTGGTCGCGTTTGAAAGAAAAGGGTTTGCGAATTCGCCGTTAATTATGAGTTTCTAGTTTTTGTAGGTGTAACTTCGGGTCTGAATGTTGCTATTGCTAGGATTTTTCTGTGCACCAAGGTATGCGCGATATGTATACCACGAACCATAAGTATTGAAAATGCAAAGCGTGAAATCAAAATCAATTTGAGTTCCCCCATTTGCTGCATATAACGATAATGACGATACGCAAAGCTCAGAACTATGACATTAATTCCTCCAACAAATGGGGAACTCTGTATTCCGTTCGACTATCGGTAGGAGTCCATATCGTTTTCCGCTTTCCATTGCTAATTTAGCAGAAGAAGAAATATTAAACGATAAAGGAAAAACAGTTCTTTTCCAATAGATGTGCCCGGATTTGCTGAAGTGTAAATAATCACGATTGAAGGAAAAGGACGAAGCACGTATTATTACAGTTTTAAATATTTAATAATAGAGACTTCAAGCATTGATATCCAACATCTATAGCCAAAAATGAATAATTTAATTATAACTAAATGGACCGTTAGTCCATATAATTGGAGACTAAAATCCGTTTTAATATGTTTGTGGATAACCAAGACTCTAAATCCGGAATTGTGTTTCCGAAAATCTTCGTGCAAGGTGTTCTGAAACTATTGCGTACAAATGATAGGGTGTATACAACAGATTAAATTGAGTAAAAAAAACCAATAAACATGTGTCCAAAACTGAATAGTTTTTGAGGTAAAAATAAGTTTTGTTTAAAAAACAAAACGCATGGGGACCGAATCAAAAGCACCGGATTATCTCAAAAAGCATCAGTGATACGAACAAATGTGTCAAACAAAAGTTACAGGATACAATATCATACTACATGTCATAGCGGGAGGTATTTGGCCGTGCGTAACCTTGAGACGTCTTAAATACAACCAATTGTACCAGCGCATTTCAAGGTTGAGTCACTACAGAGAATCTGTCAAAACTGAGGTATCATGGTTGCTCAACTCAGCATCCCCTTGCCGTTCTGTCCATAAGTGCGCAGTTGTACTGTCTGTCGGCTACCATCTCTACCGATGAACCGACAACTTTGGATACTGATATCTTGATAACGCCTTACGCGAAAAACGTCATTTCTGTGGTTTGGAAACGTCTGAATGTCGGCTTAAAAGATACGGAATAGAGACCACAGAGTTTCATTTAAGAATTATAACGTGACCTTAGCAGGAGGTTTTAAGGTCACGTCACGGTCAAATAACTCCTGCCATGACATGTAGTATTTCATATCCTGTAACTTTTGTTTGGCACATTTGTTCGTATCACTGATGCTTTTCGAAATAATTCGATATTTTTGATTCCGTCCACATACATTTTGTTTTTTAAACAAAACCTATTTTTATTTTGCAAACTATTGAATTATGGACACATGTTTATTGGGATTTTTTTAATCAATTTAGTGAGTTGCATACTGTCTATCATTTGTGCGCAATAATTTAGGAACACCCTGTAACCGCTTGAAACTTTTATACATCGATCCCGACAGAAAGTGTTATGGAGAATCGAAACAAGGTCATAACTGTCATTATATATATCGGTTCCGGCTCCGGTTCTTCGGGGGCGGTATTATATCAGTTCTACAGTGCTGGACAAAAGTATAAGACACTTGGGATATTTCTATATGTCACATATTTGAAAGAAAAAGTGTACATTTTATACATCCCATGTCCTAGATATCATCTCTGGAATATATATATATATATATATATATATATATATATAAAATCTTAAGTTCAAAAGAAACATATTGTTGAAGCTGCAGAAAAAAATACCAACATAATCTGTGTTTGGTTGGACAAAAGTATAAGACAGTCAATGTAGTTATCACTCTCACGATTCTGGTCAGTAACTATTCGACTACGAGAAGACGTTGAAACATATTGTTCGTTATGTTAGTACACTTATTAAACAAAAATTATTCAAAACATATTATACCTCGTGGAAAAAAATTAAATAAAAGTGAAATTAATAGAATAATGCTCTTGTGGTCGGGAAAGTACATTGTTACTAAGATAGCAAAATTATTGAATAGAAGTCCCTGGGCTACTTATAATATCATAAAAAGTTCAAAAGGCCAAAAACAAACTAAAAGAACTAGAAGACTACGTGTCATAACTAATCGTGATAAGCGTGCACTTTTACGAGTTGCATCGAATATCAAAGGAACAGCGAGAAAAATCGCTGAACAAGCCGGCGTGCACACAAATTTAAGGAATGTGCGTCGTATTTTACAAAATAGTAGAAACAAAAAGGGTAGGAAATTAAGGCAACGGCCCCCGCTGACTAACGAACATAAAGCAACACGATTGAAGTTTAGTCGTGAACACGATCATTGGAATAAAAAGCGGAGAAAAGTTTCTACCGACGAAAAAAATTTAACCTAGATCGACTGGACGGGTGGAACTTCTATTTTCACGATCTACGAAAACAAAAACAATGTTTAAATCGTCGGCAATTAAACTGTGCCAGAAACGGAAATTTAATATACTTTACGCTATTTACGCGATCTGATATAAAACATAACAGACGAACAATTAAATAGGAGTGCAATTCATATCGCAGACAATGATTACATATTTCAGCAGGACAACACTGCTGTTCATACTGCAAAAGCTATGAAACAATTCTTTTTTCCAAAAAAATTAACTGTTTAAAGTGTCCCGCTCGTTCACCCGATTTAAATATCATTGAAAATGTTTGGGGCGATCTGCCTAGAAATGTTTATGCGAGTGGAAGACAATTCAAAAATGTCAATGAATTAAAAAAATGCATTTTTCAAGAATGAAACGAATTTTCACAGAAACAAATGAAAAAATTATTTAAAACGATTAGAAAACGGTTGCTAGATATAATACAACTAATAGGAGGACTTACTAAATATTAATATAACATTTAATGAAATATTTTTGTAAAGGAAATGCAAATTTTGTATTATTGTCTTATACTTTCGTCCAACCAAAGTCAGATTATGTTGACATTCTTTCTGCAGTTTCAGCAATATGTTTCCTTCGAATTTAAGATTTTGTATGTACATTCTGGTATATGGACATAGAATGTATAAAAGTTACATTTTTTTCTTTCAAATATATAACATATAGAAATATCCTAAGTTTCTTATATTTTTGTCCAGGACTGTACAATTGGTATTTTTCGGTTCTGTATTTCTATTCTATGTTACAGATCTGCATGTCTTTCGTAACCGAAAGATAACAGTAATAAAAACCAATATAAATTTCGAAAAAAACGAAACCGAAAGCAATGTGACTCAGAACCAATATACTCAATTACAGTTATGACTCTATGTCGGTTCTCCATAATTGTGTCATGAACTGGAACTGATGTAACTGTTTTCAATCCTAGCTCTAAAGTATCTAAGTCGCGAAAAATATTGGCTCGGCTGATCGAGTTCCTACTGTATTTAAAACTTCAACGTGTAATTCCGTTCTTTTATGGGAAGAGTTTGTAGAAGTTTAAACATTCTCGCCTGTAAAGGGTTGAATATATTTGCGCGGGTATCTAAAATTGACGATCGTAACGTTCTTCATGAAGTACGTACACAGCATAAATTCTCGTACTCCATAGCCTGTTAAATGAGAAGTATTTTTTTATGTTTTGGTTATCTAACTGTCACTAACTCACCACGCGTTCGACTATTCCGGAACGGATAAAAACACAATATTTCGCGCGCGGATCGCGACCGTATGCGGTGAACTACTCCCCATAATTATCCGAATAACTTCGAAAATTCGAAACACAAAATGGTGAGTTTGAAAAAGTGTAATTATTTCGCGTGCCGAGCTTGTAAAATACAATACAATCCGTGACAAAAGGTGTCACGCCCTAAGGATCATTTAATCTCCATTATTAAACAGTAAATAGAAAAATAAAGTAAAACCTTTATTTCTCGAATAGTTATAAACGACGTATACGTTTGTCCAGTAACGGTTCGTTTCACGACGTGTTCTGTAATTTTTCAGGTAAGCATTTCCGCGGTACCCCCGCGCGTAGAAATAGTAGGTGAATTCTCGTTGAATTGCTCTTATGGAGTTTCGAATGCTTGGAACAATCATCGCAATTTCTATAGGAC